TTCTCTACTTTATATCCTACACAGTAAGTGTGCACTTATGAAGAACTTGAGCCATGTTACTTACTCTGTTTAAATTTATTCAGCCAACTCCAACTTGACAAAATAAAAAAAAAATCTAAACAAAATAAAAATTCTAAATTAATACCAAGTTTTAAATAATTCTGTTCATAAACAATTTTTTACCCATATAAACAGAACAACCCCCATTTACCCTTTTAGGGAATGAATTTTAAAAAAAAATAATAATATTTGTATTGTTTGATTTTTCATTTTAAAGGCAAATACCACTTTCCGTGCATTAATTACAGAGTTTCATACAAACTTTCATCCCCCATTTAATCCCCTTATAGGATTGAATTTAGAAAAATGTCAAAACACGTATTTATTTAATATTATATAAATATTGAAGAGCACAAATACTAGTTTCAAGTAATTCTGATCATTAATATTTTTTCCCTATATAAACTTTATGGCCCCCTTTTATCCCCTTATGAATATGAATATAAAGTTAGGGAATAAATTTCGAAAAATCCTTTCTGAGCGGATGCCTTCATTGTATAAGGAATATGTGCTAGTTAGTAGTTAGTACGTTTTAATTTTTTTGAGCGGAACCCTAATTCTTTTACCGAAATAAAAGTAGCAAAGTTACTCCATATAACATCAACTACCTGACAGTGACTCGCGTCAAAATCGTCCCAGCCTTTTCGGAGATTAGCCGGAACAAACATACAAACAGACAGCTTAGACCGCTGCTAAAAAAAATCTAAAATGAAATTAATACTAATGTCAGTCTTTCAATTTGCATCAGTTCGATTCAATTACTATGATTCTAACTTATAACACTGTTGATGGTCTAATAATGGATAAAATGTATAATTATTTAGGTTTGTTCTTGAATTTTTTCATAAATGAACAACCTCATAATTTTTTTTAAAACAGTTGAAAATGATATTTAATGCAAACATCTTTTAACAGCAAACATTTTATTGCGTTTTTCTTTATTACATATTTACTTATCAACATTACTTATCTAATTTCATTTAATGTTTGATTGAGAAAATTATCAGATAAAATTGATACTGTATTTTTGTAAAAACACGTTTCGAAGTACTTTTATGACCGATCTCTTACTATGATAAGATTATAAAAAAAATCAAAATAATTCATTGTAATAATAAATTAATAACACTAATTATGTAGTTGTTTTACTTTTGTTCGTTGTTACTGGTAGCTTGCATGTACGCATTGTAAATCATAACCTGTGGTAGAACTGGTACTACGCTGCATCGGGAACTTTGTCTCGGTGTGATCATTGGTATGCTGGCATTTTCTAAATTTATCTGTAAAAATTATATATTTTTTTATTTTTATGAGGATTTCATTTATCTTTTTATGTTATCCTAGTAAAGATGGCAGTTATAATTACTATATTTTTACTGTCTGCCTCGCAGAGGGCCAGAGTGTGAAGAACTACTTTGTTATAACGATACCACACTAAATCTAATATATTATCTTAAAATCAACAGCCTAATCTAAAGTATATAAAGGCTACTGAGTACTGGGTTATTATTTGATCTGATGTGCGAATGAAAAATACGTATCAAACAAGAATGTGTCTATATTACATCTGTTATTGCCTAAGAGGAAGTTGTTAGGTTAGGTTATCGATCGATCCACACTATAATTCGAAGGTTATAATAGGGAAAGATCGAGAAAAAACCTTTTAACTTTAAAAGGTTCGTTCTCGGTCCGATGTCGGTTTGATAAAGTATTTTTATACAAGAAACAGTTATATTCACGCTGTCAGTAAGAGTCAAGTTTCGGTATAATCACACATCAGCAACGTTTCCTGTATAATAATACTTTACCAGATCGATATAGGACCGAGAACAGGTAGGACGGTGTGATCGGCACTATAGTATGTATCAACCCTTATTGTCTTCTTTACTGACTGGTAGGTCTGTAAAAATATATGTAGTAATAAGTATAAGTAATAAATACTTAAGAAGCCTCGAGATTTGATGATGAAGTGAGACCACTTGAGTACTGCAGCTACGTCCTGGCTTATATAACAACTACAAGTGCACTCTCTATTCCTGTCACTCTCATATTCCGGTGAGACGGCCACTCGACACGACCAGTGAGAGTTAAGGAGCAGGACCGACGGCTTTACGTGCTCTCCGAGGCACGTGGGTGTGAAACACCACCAACTTCCCAACTCCGAGCTATTATTGAGGCTTACTATACAGAAAGACTCAATTACTAAACTTGGCCCGACCCGGGACTCGAACCCAGGACCTTCGGGTGTGCAGCCGTACATGCTAGCCACTACACCACCGAGGCAGTCTACTCTAAAATTATATCTATTCTTAAAAGTAATAAAGATATTCGAAAAATTACTTAATATTTAAATTAAAATAATTTCTATTATACTTAATTAAATATTAATTACCTTTTTATCATAATATAAAGTAAATATTATTGATCCGATTATGAATATAACGTTGAGACCTAATAATACAGGAACAGCAATTAAAAATACGAAATTAAGCGCCATTTTACGAAAGCGAAACTAAAATGTATTCTAATCGCAAACGTTATTATAACACTGCGTAAAAATATTTTCTTTTTAGATATCATTAAAATAATAAATGTTTATCGTTAAATTATTTAGCGATCTTATCTATCCATCAAACAGCACAATATTGATTACTTTAGTTAAAGTACCTACTGTGTTTTTTCGAGAGCAGGTTGTTAACAAGTTAGCCTAATAACACTATAACGGACACCAATCGGAGTAGGTACAAATATTAAGTCTTGATATATATAACGAGAACCACCACTGCCTCCACCACTACACCACCACAGGAGATACGTTTAGATTTTAGAGAAAATACAATGGCAAATAAATTGTCAACACCATATTGAGACAAACACAGTAACTCTTTCATCATCCATACCTTCCCTAGTTTCATTTGTAATTATGTATGAAAATGTTGTAGAATACTTGTAAATAGGTTAATCGTTAAAGTACACAATTTATTTTGTAAATACTGTAAATATTATGAGCCTTGCTATATTTAGTTTTATTCAAATCGTTAGGATTAGATAGAATCCGTATACTTATCTATATATTTTACTAACGACTCACCGACCTCGCTCCGCTCGGGTTCCTCTCTAGGTACTTTTTAACGGTTAGTGAGTTTAACTAGATTTTTCAGAGATGAGATATTTTCCCGCATTAAAAAGTATCCTAAATATTAAACGGACAACCAGTTTTCACAGTTCACCATACTAAAATTCTCTGTCCCTGCGTAAAGGACATCAATCACATCTTGTCCTATCAACTAAGCACCTATTAATAATAATTTCGTTTAAATATTTTATTAAAAACGTGAATTTTAATAACGAAACGTGAACGTTCAATTTTACGAAACAGTTTGCTAGTACACTTTACTTACATCAAGCGTGAAAATTGAGAATAAATTAAAAAATGTACCTATACAAAATTAAGTATATATATTTAACCAGAGAGACAACGGTATTGTGAACAATGAATAGGCCTTATTATTATTAAGCCAAAACTAACTCAACCATACGTATACAAAGACGTATGAAAAACATAGATAGTTTATTATTATTTAATTTTATCGGATTAAACAAGATAATAAATTAATTACGATTACGACCTTTTTTCGTGTCATAGATTTGTCTGCTTAGTCGTAAAATCAATTCATAAAAAAAATTGAACGTAAACTGAAACTATAATAAACCACAGTAGTGCACGTTTGTATATTGCAATTTTTACCCTGCGGCGAAGTCCACAGGATGTATATATATCCGATCCTATGTTCCCTTGTAATTACTAAACTGTTAAACCGATTTCAATGATTCGTACGTCATTGGATTCGTTGTGTTAGCGCGAGTGTCATATTATGGTTTATTACATCTGAGATGTCATTAAGAATCAAAATGGCGGATCTACGGCGGCAATTTTTGTCTTGAAAATGTTTTTTCGTCCGAATCAATCGAGTTGGGTAACAAAATACAGGTTTTTATCAGGCGATTAAAAAAATATGCAGGTACAACTTATATGTTTAAAAGTAATTTAGGATAAAAAAAATGCTAAATATAACTTCAAATGTCTAATTGGTAAAAAAAGCTGTAAATAAAAAAATATATTATAAAAATAAAAAACCTGACTGCATAAAAGCTAATTAAAAAGATGAAAACAAGTTAATAAAGGAATATTATTTTTTCAAAAAATATTCTATATAAGTGAAGGAGAAAGAAATAATGCGGCCGTAAATCGCGTAATTTTACTGATTATAATTGAAATATTAGCAATCAGATGATGGATTTGTAGTGTATATTCACAGATAGCGCTTTCACTTTTTATGAATTGTTTATCGCGGTTAAAAATTATTAAAAACACAGATTTTTTTATTCGAATGTAAAATGAATTTTATAATATTTACAATACGTTAGTTTCCACATATTTATAAAACAAAGGTTTAACTATTTGCGAATCAACGACATCTATTATCTATTCAAGTAAACAAAAATGTCCATTTTCTTTATATGAGATCAGGCATCTGTACTAGTATTATGTGATCTTAGTATTACTAATAAAAGCGAATTTTAGTTTCTCAGTCTTCATAATATAATAATTGGTATAAAAATAAAAATAATATACAGTAGCAAATACAAGTACATATTGAAAAAAAATCATCTCTAATAGCACAAGCCTAATATTAGTAATACTTAATTAGTTAAATATTATATAATAAAATAAAGTATTATGTACGAGTAACTTCCAGCACTACACCGAGAACGATATATTTAAACATTGTCACTTCTATACATTAGGTAGACTCGATTGTTCCGATAAAAAATTTACACCGGCGATTTCGTCAATGTAACCCACAGTTTACGTTTTGTTCGCGGTTCGAGGCAGTAGGTACAACAAACTTGTTTTGAAGTTATTTAAAGCCTTCGCAATGACGTACGCGTTTTTAGTAGTTGCTTCTGTTGCTATTACGCTAAAATTAATTTTTCTAAGTTTCTCGTTGTTTGTGACATATGAACATGGGAAAAGTGATGAAAAGGTCAGTAACGTGTTTATTCTGCTATTACTCGTTGTTACTTTTACTTTGCTTACATCAATGAAGCAATAATCTTTAAGAAATATAAAATAATTACAAAATGAAAGAAGATAGATAATAACGTTTTTTTTACAAATACCTAACTATAAAATTTTATTATCATAGAACTGTAAACAACAATCTGACGTATATATATTCTTTAGAAGCTTATAAAATCATGAAATTGAAATGTAGAAAGTGAATGAAAGTAGATCGACGTAGGTTTACTTCGCTTCTTAATGAACTTGAAATTACTCATATAAAACATTGCATATTTATCCAGTGACTACCGACTCACCCTCACTTCGTTCGGGTCCGTCCCTAGGTACATTTTAAAGATTAGTAGGGAATAGATAAACTATATATATTATATAGGTATGATGAGTTTTTAAATATCCCTTACTTGAGAAATAATTGGTTCCCCATACAAACGTTCATCCCTCTTTTCACCCCCTTAATTTATTATTTTTAAGCTTTTAATCAATACTATTATCTTAAGAGAAAAAGTTGTCTTTTTACCTATTTGTGATGGATTAACTAAAAATCAATCCGCTAAACCGATTTAGAGGTATGAAGATACCTTGAGAAGGAAATCATCATTTTGTGTATATACTAATAGATATACCGGATATCTACATATAATATGTAGTCTATCTATTCCATACTAACCTTTAAAACCTTGGACAAATTCGCGCAAAGCGAGAGCGAGTCGTATTATATACAATATACATACATATATACCTAAGGAAATACTAAAAAAATCGACTACTCATTGCATACCAGTGTATAAGAAACTCAGAATATGGTCAGTATACCTTAAATTGGTGTGATCGACGCGCTTGGATACATCTACTCTTTGTTTACGTTTATATATTTTTTTTATTATTTCTAGAAAAAACTCTTCAAGTTTTTGGACTATTATTATTTAGGAATTATAATAAATTAAATTGTATTTAACCACATAAGTGAGAACAAACATCGTTATCAAAAATGCGAACACATGACTTCCTTCCACTTAAACCTATGTGTAACAACAGGTTACTTTGATTGTTTCAAGAAATGTAGATTTATTAGTAAAATGAGCTAAAAATTGTTTTCAATTTAAAACTTGCAGCAATTGCGTTATAAAACGTGACTTTAGAGTATTACACAACAGAAATGTTACTAACCTAATACCTATAACTTTCGCCTTCTTGTTGCAGGCAAATATGCAGACAAAGCAAAACAAAAAGGACGTGATAAACACTTGGAAACAATTTTCTCGTAAATTCCTACCCAAAATATCGTATTATCCTGAAACAAGCAATAATAATATTAGTGCGAAACCATGATACTGTTGTTTGAATTGTCTTCTGTTTTTCAATATGATTCCTGATTCTACTTCTGCCAGAAAACATTGAAATTCTTAACCAATCCCTATAAAAATATTTTAATAGAGCATTTTGAAAAACGTGCCTATATGTTTTATTAATATCATATTACAACTAAAATAGTAAGTTTTACATTCTAAACAGCGAAACATAATAGTAATAGCACGGTAATATTTATGCATTACATATGATGTGTGTATTATTATTGTGTGTGGCAGTGGTAGCTCAATGATATCGCGCTCGCTTGGGAAACCGAGTGAAGCGGGTTCAAATCCCGACATTTTCATGTGCGACTCATTTCTAACATAATTACCACTTGCCACGGTGAAGGAAAACATCGTGAGGAAACCTGCATGTCTGAGAGAACCTAGCAAGTTTTCCAAAAACGTGTGAAGTCCGCCAACTCGCACTTGGTCAGCGTGGTGGACTATGGCCTGAACCTCCTCATGAAGGGAGGCCCGTGCCCAGCAGTGGGACGTTAAAAAGGGCTATCTCCCAGATAAGTGAATAATGTGATTATAAATAGATAAGAAGGATCATGACTCATGAGTCACAAATGAAAACTTCATCACGAACGTGCCTAAAAAATCTATATCTATACATATAATAAAATTCTAACTGAGTCGATCTGTAAATAAATATTTTTTGTTTTTTTTGAAAGTCATTATTGTCGATACAGAGGCCGAATCTATGTATAGTTTTTAGAATTTTGTCTGTCTCTCTGGGAACGCATGACGAGAAAACCACTGGACAGATTTTGATGAAATATGGTATATATATGGTGATAGCTGATTATCCGGGTCAACACATAGGATACTTTTTATTCCGGGAAAATATCTCATCTCTGAGAAATCTATACTAAATGAAGCCGAGCGGAGCGAGTGAGTCGCTAGTAAGCATATAAAAAAAGATTAAAGAGTGTTATCGATATTCTACGAACATCATCTTTAGTAGTTACTAATCTTGTGGGCGTTATCAGGGCTCAAAAAATGAATTATTCTTTGATTAGTACAATTTAATCCGAAAACGATAATTCTAATAATTTAATGAAGCAGCGGGTTCACAGGCACCGATGACACTTCCACATTCAATATCCACCACTCTACGACGTACGAAAATCAACCAACTTTACTAAACCACGTCTGTCCAATGAATGTCATGATGGTGTCTCGACTTCGCTCGAGACTTAATCGACTCTGCTCGAAATTTAAAAGCCATAAAAACTAAACTAAATAACATAAAAACTAATATAAATATACTTTTCTAGTTTTTTTATTTTTTACAAAAGTTTTCTATCTTTAACCCCCGACGCAAAAAGGTTGTAATAAGTTTCATGTATATGTATGTATGTGTATCTGTCTGTGGGCTGTGGCATCGTAGCTCCTAAACGAATGAACCGATTTTGATGTGGGTTTTTTGTTTGAAAGCTGACGTGATCGAGATGGTTCATAGCTATAAATTATGAAGACCTGTTGAGGCGTTTGACGATCATCAGCTCATTTTCTACTTGACAAAAGGGTATTAGTTCCTACTAACTTTCACAGATCCGACTGATTTGATATTAGGTGTACTGTTACTTCGGTGGTTTTTCCAAGACATGCTAACCTTGAGCTGATGCCGTAGTATCAAATAGTCCGCAAGATGGTCAATTCATCAGACACTTAAGGCAGATATAGCGCGTTTGGGTCATAAAGTCTCAATGTGAGTTTACCTATATCTAATAGAATTAGTGTCCGCGAGTAATTTAAAAAGAATGAAATAAAAATAGAATTTTAATTTTATCACTATTATTTATAGGGAGAGCATATATTTTTATAATTTAGAAAGTTTTACAGTTTTGTGTTATTTGACTGTGTCTATTCTTCTAATATCTACGTGACCTTAATTATAAGTACAATGTAGAATGTATATATTGTTTATCGATATATTTATACTTTCTTACTTATTACTATTGTATTTTACTAATAAATACTGTAAACTTAACTTTGCTTAATTTGCTTTAACTCGATGCGATAAAATATGAATAATATTACATGGTATGATAGCTATTATTATAATATCTATTTGTTTACATAGTGATGTTGTCACAGTCTAACGGTATACGATTTATTTATCGATATAATGTTACTATGAGACTTTTGCCTAGGCTTTAAAACAGCGAAATATATGCATCTACTACGTTATGCGTATTTTACTTTCTGTGTTCAAATAGGCAACGATTGCTCGAAATCAGGCCACATTTATGGTAGGTACCTACAGTATATACCTACATATAAAATACCCTCCAAAACTCTACGGTGTTTGCATTAATTAATCAGTTCTTCGAAATTGTCAAAGTTTGTCCTATTCTTAGTTAGAAAAACCCTGTGGAATGTGAATCTCAATTGAGCTCCGATTTGGTTGAATCTGTTCCAATATAAAACCTACGGTACAATAACCATGGTTGTTGTGGTTTAATTCGGTAGATCAGTCGTCGGGGCGTCGTGGTTGAGTGTAAGCGATCCTGCGAAGCACCATTGAGACGGGGGTGGTTCCGTTGGGTTTTAGTAGTAGGTAAGTAGGTATAGGGAAACTTATCTCCCTTAAATCCTTAAATGGTGACAATGTATGTATATCAAAAAATTTGGTAAGTACTTGTAACTTGACTACAGTTCAGTAACTATGAAGGCCAAGCATATAACAATGAAGAAATATATATTAAACACGTTATGAAATAATTATGACTATGAATTACAATAAAACGTGTGGTAATAAAACTCTTTATATAAAACAATATTTTATTAAATAACAGGTAACAAAGTATTAAAAAAAAATATTTGTAAAGTTTTATAACACTTATTCTGATACATAATTCGTTACTAATAAATAGTTTATTTCTCTCGTGATCTTTGCCCATTTCACGGTCTTTTTCTGTATATCTAATTTTAAATTATTATTTTTACATTGTAGAGCTTGATTTATAATAAATTTATTAAAATAGTGAACGTGTGGATGATTGGTGTATTCCTCAATATACATCCATTTGCAATCCTTTACTTCTCTATGAGATAAGGTTATATTTTCAGATAAAGCTTTCATCATGAGCAGTACATAGATATCTGAATTGCCAAAGATCATGTTGTGCGAATGTCTAAATGTTATCAAAGATATAAAATCTGAGTCAACTCCTGTTTCTTCTCTGACTTCTCTTTTAGCAGCTTCAACTATGTCTTCACCTACATAAGACAAAATAGAAAATAAGGATTTACTCTGTTCTATGAACTTAAAAAGTGAAATACCTAACGTAAAAATAGAATTTTTGCACATCCTTAGGGAGATAAAAAAAATAATAATATAATTAATAAAACATAAAATTCTGAAGTTATCTTACCTCTTTCAACATATCCACCAGGAAGCTTCCAATGCGGATAGTCATAATGTTTTTCAGAAACCGCTAATAACTGATTTTTCCCATTCAGAACTAAAGCTCCGATTCCCAAATTTGTGTGGCAAGCTGGTGGCAAATTTGGTGCAGAGTCAAGTGGCAGCCATTTGTACATCATCACAAAATCATCTCTAGCATGATGAAAATTAAAACCTTTCTAAGAATATTACCAGGGTTTTTAAACAGATTATAACAAATAACTACATAAATATCAAACTGGCAAGAACAATAAACTTTGCTTACTTGTGCTAATATTGGTACATAAGCCGAATCATCTATATGTACTTTAAACCATATACACCTTTTTCTTTCTGCCATCCAAGACTTTAGGGATTCTGAAAGAGAATAAAACAGAAGTGCAGTAGTAGTGAAACTGTATTAATTCTTTTTATCCAATAAAGATAATATATATATAATTAACAAGCACAACTATCTTATATATAATGAGGTCTCATCAGAAAAAGAAAAATAAGTTTAAATAATTGTCGACAGATTGCATACATTTAACACTATTTATTGACAATTATAAAAGTTTGTGAATAATTTACAAAAGATAAAAAATAGATCCTAAACAGATATATTATGATTTTAAAAACTACACTAATAAAAGGAACACAAACAAATTAGCTCATAAAACTAAATTGCTTATATAATTTTAATGATTATTCTAAAATCTATCATCAGGGGTTTTTCTATTTTTTCTGTTTTTCAGTTTGCCGTTTCCTTTTTTTTATTACTTGCTTACCAATGTTAAAATAATACGGCAGTTTGCAGATCAACACCATGTATTTATTAAATTTAATTAAAAATTATATTTAATAAAAAAATAGCTGGCCAATTTCTTTGTATGGGATGGTGCATCAGTACCAGTATTGTCACCTGTGCTACATACACAGACTTTGATGATTTTTGCACAGAAGATGAAACTTTGTTTTTATTTACAAGAGCTATGGGATGGTTATCAAATAAAAAAGTCATTATTTGTTGGCACATGATATAAATGAATAGAAAAATATATATTTTGAATATTGAACGTCAACCGTGACAACCCTTCCTCTTAACCATTCTGTTGTATACTATTGTACCGATCCATCAGGTTATGGGCCCAGACCGTTGATTAAAGTTAAAATAATTTCGTATATTCGCATATTTTCAGTATATTTATAGTATTTGCATTTAAATTTTATATATAAAATAATTAATATATAATAAAGTATCTGCAAAAATATAAAACATGGCGTCGGCATTGTCATATAATATTCCCGTCGAAAAACTAAAGGGCTTAGAAGATTATAATCATTGGAAGTTTACGCTGAAAATGATTTTAATGCATGAAGATCTTTTCGATTGCGTAATGAACGAAGATGAAAAAGACGAGAAGAAAAAACAAAAGGCGTTAGCAAAAATTTGTTTGTCCGTCGGTCCATCAGCGTTGGGTCATGTACGCAATGCGAAGAGTCCTTATGAAGCCTGGCATAATCTCGAGCGTGCTTACGAGGATAAGGGACTATGCAGACGACTGGGATTACTGAGGTCGCTATTTGGTACGAAACTGTGTGAGACGGAAGGTATGCAAAGCTACTTATTAAAAATTACGGAGCTTGGGCAACAACTATCAGATATTGGATCCGCACTTGACGATGAATTTCTAGCTGTAATTATGCTCAGTGGTTTGACGGAGGACTTTGACCCCATGATAATGGCTTTAGAAAATTCTAATATGAAACTCACAAGTGAGGTGGTCAAGTCAAAGTTACTGCAGGAGCAACAGAGGCGAGATGACAAGAGTCAAGATGGGGTCAACGCATTAGCTACTAGAAAAGAAAAGAGCTCAAAGGTCGTGTGCTTCAAGTGTAAAAAACCTGGACATATGAAGAAGGACTGTACCAGTAAAAGGAAAGTGTACAAAAATAATTCTGTACAAGAATCTACTGGGAAGCAGAATCCTGAGGCGTCGTTACTGTCTGCATTACGTGTGAATCTTCACAGTGATATATGGTGTATCGACTCTGGGGCTACTCATCATATGTGTAATAATAAAGATCTAATGTATGATTATCAGGATGTAAAGTCACTTGAGGTAAATGTAGCTAATGGGGACAAATTAACAACAGAAGGTCGGGGTAGAGTAAAGGTACAATTAGTAAATGGTACTAAAACTATAAATAATGTATATTTTATACCTGAACTTAGTGTAAATTTATTATCAGTAAGTGAGTTAGGTAGGAAAGGTTATTATGTTATTTTTAGTCATTTAGGTTGTAAAATTATGCACGATAAGGAGGTTATAGCTACTGGTACTTGTAGAAATGGTGTCTATGAACTCGACATTATTAAAACTGTAAATATGTATAATAGGAAATACAGTAGGAAATACAGTAGAAAACAAGAATCAGGGATTGCTATGAACTCAGTCCGTGAGGGGAGCGAGCGTACGGTGTTTTCAGATGAGAGCAAGGATTCTACACTGGCGATTGTGCAGAATTCAGCATCACAGGAACTGTGGCATAAGCGGCTCGGACATCTGAATGCACGGAGCATGAATTTAATGAAAAATGGTATTGTATCAGGTATGAATTATAAAAATACTACTTTCATTCCTTGTACTGCTTGTCTCGAAGGTAAACAGACAATGCTACCTTTTCCAAAGAAAAGTAAAAGTAGGGCTTCCGAAATTCTAGGACTGGTACACGCAGATGTGTGTGGTCCTATGCAGTCACCTTCTTGGAGTGGAGCACGTTACTTTGTAACATTTATCGATGACTTCACAAGAAAAACATTTATTTACTTTCTTCAAAGAAAAAGTCAAGTATTTGAAAAATTTAAATTATTTAAAACTATGGTAGAGAATGAAGTAAGTAGGAAAATAAAGGTTTTTAGAAGTGACAATGGCGGAGAATTTAATTCTGTAAATTTTCAGGCCTATTTAAAAGAAAATGGAATTAAGCATCAAACTACAATTCCACACTGTAGTCAACAAAATGGTGTTGCAGAGAGGGCAAATAGGACGATAATGGATAAGACCCGCTGCATGCTCCAGGACGCTGGTTTAGAGAAACGGTACTGGGCTGAAGCTGCTAACACGGCTGTATACTTGAAGAACCGTTCCCCTACTAAGGCAATAAAGGGAGTAACACCGGAAGAAAAATGGACGAATAAAAAGGTGAACATTGAACATTTACGAGTTTTTGGTTGTGTAGCATATGCCATCGTTGAGAATGCTAGAAAATTGGACCCTAGAAGCAAAAGATATATTTTTGTAGGATATTGTGATGATAGCAAAGGCTATAGGCTCATAGATCCTTTTTGTCCAAAGAAGTGCATTAAAGCAAGGCATGTGACGTTCATGGAGAACCAATTTGTAAATAAAAATGTAACATATAGTGATAGTTGTAAAGTTAATAAAAATAAAGATACTTCATTAGGTTTAGACTCAACTAGTTCACAGATTATTGTAGATAGTACTCTAAGTCCGAATTCAGTACAATTACCTACAAAAACTATTCAGTTATCTCCACAGTCAAATGCATCAGTAAATGATGAGTCTATATGTCATAATGTTGACCAAATAAATCCTCGCAGGCAAACTATGTTTGATCTAGATGAAACAGAAGATTTAGTTGCCTCAGATGATTCGGGCGACCCCACTTATGTTCCAGGTTTATCAAGCATTGACTCTGAGGACTCTAGGGAGCTGTCATTTGAAGAAGCTCAATCATATGAGTTCGCTGGATTAACAGAGATGCATGAGGAGGACTTACCTGTTAACGCGGAGGAAGCACTGAGATGCAGTGATTCACAGCATTGGAAACAAGCGATAAAAGATGAGTATGATTCTTTCATCACAAACAAATGTTGGACTTTAGTAGATCTACCTCCAGGCCATAAGCCTGTAAAATGCAAATGGATTTTTTGCAAGAAGAGAGGGCTTGATGGAGAGATCTTAAAGTACAAAGCTCGCTTGGTGGCAAAAGGCTTTACTCAAAAATATGGGATAGATTATCACGAAACATTTTCTCCTGTCGTCCGATACTCAACTATCAGAATTTTGCTAGCACTAGCTGCTCAGTACGATATGTTAATTGAGCACTTGGACGTTAAAACAGCATTTTTAAATGGGATTTTAAAGGAAAATGTGTACATGGAACAACCGGAAGGTTTTGTTGTTGATAATAATAAGAATAAGGTTTATAAGCTTAACAAGGCAATATATGGATTAAAACAATCAGCTAAGGCTTGGTATGAGAGAATTAATGATGTTTTAATTAAGAAATTACACTTTAAGAGGTTTTCTTCAGAACCATGCGTGTATATATATAACGATAGTAAAGAAATTTTGTATATAGCTATTTATGTTGATGATATATTGTTATTTTCATCTAAGACATCTCAGAAAGGAAAGCTCATTAAAGAAAAGTTGATGAAACAATTTGAGATGAAGGACTTAGGACTGGCATATCAATTCTTAGGTATGAAAATTACTACATTACCTAACGGTAGCTATACTCTCAATCAATCCAGCTATATAAAGAAGATATTGACAAAGTTTAAAATGGCGGATTGTAAGGAAGTAAAAACTCCTATGGAAGTAGGATTAAAGTTGCAAAGAGAGGGAAATGTTAGTAATTGCAACTTTGATTATAGGAGTTTAATTGGTTGCTTAATGTATTTAGCGGTATGTACCAGACCCGATATCGCTCACAGTGTCAGCTACTTGAGCCAATTCAATGATTGCCATGGTGAGAGTCATGTCAAAGCTGCGAAAAGGGTTTTAAGGTATTTGAAAGGCACCACAGAATACTCGCTAATCTTTGAAAAACATAATCTTGAAATTTTAGGTTTTGCCGATGCTGATTGGGGCGGAGACCAATTGGATCGGAGATCCTACACAGGGTATGTATTCTGTATTGGTAAATCAATAGTATCCTGGGAAAGCCGTAAGCAGCGCACTGTCGCGCTCTCGAGCACTGAGGCTGAGTACATGGCGGTTTCTGATTCTTGTAAAGAAGCTTTGTTTTTACGAGCGTTTATTAATGAGTGTACTGGTAAGCTCTGTAAAATAACTTTATATAATGACAACCAGTCTGCTCAGAAATTATGTTCTAATGTTATATCACATTCTAGAACAAAGCATCGATATCAGATACCATTTTATTAGAGAATTGGTTGATAAGAAGATAGTTAAGTTAGATTATCTATGTACTGAAGATATGTTAGCTGATGTTTTTACAAAGCCCTTATGTATTGTGAAGCATAAGAAACTTATATCTAAATTATTTAAAACTTAAAGATATAAGTGGTAGGTGTAAGTTGCGAATATGATATTTTTATATTCGTTTAAGGGGTAGTGTTGGCACATGATATAAATGAATAGAAAAATATATATTTTGAATATTGAACGTCAACCGTGACAACCCTTCCTCTTAACCATTCTGTTGTATACTATTGTACCGATCCATCATTATTAACAGTTCAGTAGAGAACTTTTGTATTTTTAATATTAATTACTGACGTTGTCTTCTGGTAGCAATAATAGAATAAATAAGGCTGTCCTTAACCTTTAAAATAATATAATGTACAATATAAAGGTTTAATTTTTTAATTAAAAGAATTTTTTTTCTTCTTTCGTTCAAAGAGTTTATGTGTTTTAACAGTGGTTACTAATAAACATTAAATACATAGAAATCCATACCATTGTAAAAATAAATTATAATAAGTACTAATAGTAATAAATGATAACAAAATCAATGTAATTGTCTTTAGGAGTCACATTTTCTCAGACATAAAATTTCTGTGATATAATCAGAAAAATAATAATTCTTAAAATACTCAGAACCTTCGTGCCTTAATGATAGATCAGTAATGTGATAATGAGATATTTACATATTTTGCTTTGTGAGATAATTTATAATACAAAATAAAATACTTACTCACCCTCTAACTTTTCTGAAAAGGCTCCCTCATGACATTGAATCTTTTTACTATCTATAGTGACACCATTAAATCTATCAGGTTCTGCTACAAATGACTGGTTAGGAAAGTATTTGTGAGAGGTACAAGAAATGTTCCTGAAACTAAAATGTTAGTGAATATATGATATGAATGACAAAAAAAGATATAAAGTAATAAAATATACTTACCTATTATTATTTATAATTTTGCTTATTTGCTTTAGCCTGAATGCAATTGCCTTCATTGAATTCATATTTACATATTTTAAAATGTAATTAAGATGAAGAAAGAATGGTTCTTTTAATTGCTACTTTCGTTTCTTGGCTGTATACTGTGTGTTTGCTATTTAAATGAAAGCCAATAACAAAAATATATAAATTTAAAGATATCCAATAAACATTTATCACAATAATTTTATAAGAACAACTTGCCCTATTTTTGTTGGCAGATTTATCTTATTCATGACTATCTAGCATAAAAACCAAAGATTAAAAAGCTTCATTGCTTCAAAACAGGTGTCCGCCAAAAAAAATATTTAGCACTTATAATAATCAATTAAACAATTAAACGACAGTAAAATAACAACACAGACATGCCTTAATCATTATCTTTGAATTTTGAAGATTGAATTATCATACTATTATTTCATTTTTATTGCAATACATATCTTTAATTATTATTATTTATAAAAAAATACTCGACGTCGCCATGAATTCTTCATTCACGTAAATACCTGTGAGAATTTATTATTATTATATTTATTAATATATTTTCCTCAATAGGCTTATAATTATGAACTGGATTTAAGATCACAGAAACAAATTGACATTGAACAATGCGAATTGAGAAGTTTTTACTTTTCAGTGACACTTGACAGTTTCAATTAAATGTCAATGTAATGTAATGTCAGTAATACATTTTTTTCTGTATGGAGGGTAGAAGTAAGGAGGACCATCTCAGTGTATTTAAAAGTGTCCATTGAAAGAGAGCAAATTAAGGTGGCGCTATAGAAGCAAGTGGAAGAATTTTAAAAGGAGCGCCACAAATTATTAGAGTAGGACACTAAATTAAAAAAAGGAAAGAAAAATTTTCGCTTTCCGCTTAGTTAAGCGCATTTTTTTTAATTATTATATTATACAGACAAACATGAATATGAAATATAATTATACAGTATTTTTAAGTACCCTATTTATTTGTAAATTAAATTATTATTATTTGTAAATTATATTAATTTTTTTAAATAATATTTTATAAAATAATACTAATTCTCCACGACCGCGGACACGCCGGCGTATCAGTTAACAATAGATTTCTTAGAATTTTGATGATTTTTTTAGAAATTTACCTGGAGTTGTAAATTGGAGTATTAAATTTTTCAACCCAGCACACTTCACTTTGTTTATAACTGCTAAATTCATATCATTTCCATTTCCTATACTAGCGCTATTTCGGTGAGTGTTTGAACATAAATTTGCTGTTTACAAGTGACCTTTTCAACTAATCCCCCATACAAGACGGTCCTCCTTACTTCCACCCTCCTTCCATCCTCCATTATATTTTTCTGGCTTAGAGCTGTGTTAAAGCGCGCTCCACATTCACGCGAGATCCTTGCCGATAATCTCGGCAAGAATCTCAGCGAAGATCTCGGCGAGAGCTTCTTTGGCTACACACTCGCAAGTTTCTCTATAAAATTCTCACGCTCGATGACGATGAACGTAGAAGTAACTGCTGCGACAAGCTTATTGCTATGCGCATTTGCATAATATGTCCTTACAAACAGATCCCATATTGAATGGAATCTAATAATTTCATTACGACTCAGATTGTTTAGATTAATTAATCATTAAGATTTATTGGATTTTATTATTGCGGTGCCTTTAAAACAAACGTGAAAATAACTAAAAAATTACTTTCTAAAATATCAAATTTATTACCTGCATAGATATAACCGTAATGTTTTTTTAATATTTTATTTCTGAACGGTTATAAAACAACTTTACAAAACATTAGTTACCAAATTGTTTATCTCTTTTACTCTTGAAAGACTATATGGCTAAAATATAGTTCTTAAAATTTTTGACACGTCATGCGTTTGTTAGGATAATAATATTGTCAACCAATCCAATATAAAAAATGACATAGGTTTTCATGTGGTTATATGTGATATTTTGTGAAGACGTAAATTACGTGAAAAGCTATGTGAACAGTCTGAATAAGAAACAAACAATCCTTTAAGATAAAAATAAAATGGCAGGTCGAGGTGAAAGAGGTGTATCTAGAGTCTTGGATAAACTAGAAGCATCAGTTAATTCGGGTCAATATTATGAAGCACATCAAATGTATAGGACTCTTTATTTTAGGTAAAAAAAAAACTAATATAAATATGTTTAAATTTTCATTCTAGTAAGTACTAAGTATTAACTAAATTTTTTCGCAGGTATCTCGGCCAAAAAAAATATTCAGATTTATTAAATCTGCTGTATAAGGGTTCATCGCTTTTATTACAACGTGATCAACAAGGTAGTGGTGCAGATTTGGCAATTCTTTTAATAGATGTTTTAACGAAATCAGAAACAAAACCTTGTCATGAGTGGATAGAGAAAATAGCAAAGTTATTTGAAATGATGAATTCTAGTATCCCTGAGCGTGAAATGTTTCTTACAAATGCAGTAAAATGGTCAATGGATAGTAGTAAGAAGGGTCATCCCTTACTTCACAAAGTAAGGAAGCTTGTTATTACATTTTAACAAAAAATACTCTTCCTTGTTTCTTACTCACCTAAATAAACAACTTTTCTTGTTTATATATGAAAATGTTATTTTGTTTCTAGAAAATTGCAGAAGTGTATTGGCATGAAAAGAAGTATACATCAGCACATAGACACTTTTTACATTCAAGTGATGGAGCAGCATATGCTAATATGTTGATTGAGTTGCATACAACAAAAGGGCTAAAGTCGGAAATTGATCTGTTTATAGCACAGGCTGTATTGCAATGTCTCTGCTTGCGTAACATACAAATGGCTACAGAAGCTTTTAATAAGTACACAGGATCACATCCAACCATAAAAAATGACAAAGGGCCACCATATTTATTCCCACTACTAAATTTCCTATGGTTTCTGCTACGAGCAATTGAGCAGTAAGTATCTTATATTATTATGATTAATAAATTTTCTATTTTCATACAAAATGTCAAATATGAATATTTTATTTCAGGAAACATGTTATTCAATTTAAAATTTTAAGGAACTGCTATGCTATTAGTATAAAGCGTGATCCTAATTATTCGGTTTATTTGGATACTATTGGTCGCATTTGGTTTGGTATTGAAATACCTCAAGACAGAAATCAAAATTCAGTATTTGGTGGACTTCTAAAATCTATAATAGGTGATGTTGAAATTGATACATCAGAGGATGAAGGAGACTATTTAAGCAGTGTTTCAGCTCCCGATTTAGATTAGTCAATTTGGCAGTTTATTTGATTGTACACAACACAATTTATAACTGTCCTTTCAGCACATACTGATACAATTTGTATATCTGGGGAAAGTTGTCAATAGGAATAGGTTTATGTGATGCAAATTGATCAATGTTTTCTAAGTACATATTATGTCTTATTAAAATAGTATCAGTATACTATTATTAATATTATTTTTAAACATTTCTAACTGTTCTAAGCATGTTAAAACAAAAATTTTGTTAACAGTAGAGGTTATAGTCAATATAGTGCAGTTTTTTTAGAACTGAATTGTTTTAATAAAAATACCTGTTCAAAATGTAATTGTATTATATGTATAGAATAACAGTTTATTATAATTTGTTCTATTTCAATTTTTATTTATTAAATGTCAATATTATTACTTTTGTTACTCCTTTACTTATTACTAAGGCTTACCAGTCAAACATTTTCCAAATGAAAATTTTTTATTTCTAAAATTAGAAATACATATTTTATTTATGGAAAAAATATATAATGAAACTAAAAATACACTAGCAGTTAATATATATACAAAAGAAATCTACACCTAAATACCATACTAAAAGAGAAATTGTGGCATAAATGTTAACTGCATTACCTTCCTAAATGGTAATGCAGATTCATTTAGTGAGAAAGAACCAGCCCTCTTGTCACTACTACCAATAAACAAGGCATTACTCTTTTAAAAGGTTATTATGATTTAGCACTTTAGACCACATGGGCCAAGAGTTTTTTCAAGTGCAAAGAGTTTAAAGCAATCATTTTGACTAAGGGAGGCGTGCTTATATACCTTTAGTCACGTGTCCCATATTAGACTAATAAGGGTCAATGTATCTACACATGCGTCAAGTCGTAGTGGTAAAAGCCCTTTTTTATGGTGACATTTAGAGAGCTGTGACGGAAAAGTCTAGTGGAACTTCCATATAGCATTTATGCTTGGTTCACAGTGGGGTAATAATATCCTCCTGACCGATAGCGGCCAAGGCGGCCAATCTCATTGAGACTAGCCATCTGCGCAGGAGATACTATAGTGCACAAGAAGTACACTCTCTATTCCTGTCACTCTTATCCCTTTACAACCGGCGAACTTATTTTTTATTTTTTCGTGTATGATTTATGTATTCTAGTTATTTAGGCTTCAAACAACCTAAAAAAAATACTTAAAAAAATTAGGTACCCCCCTTTTTTTTTAAAAAGTACCCTCACGATCGTGACGATCAGGATTAAATTGACTTACGTACGATGGTGATTTTTTAGGAAGCAGTTGGGTTAATGAAATAAAAATCTAGTATAATCAATTTCATTTATATCCGTGATTAAATAATTTGGTAATCTATACATAAGTCTTTATAATTGAGCACATATTTTTGGTTTAATTATACTTGTATGTATTAAACTTATCTATATTTGTATTTATTATATAATCTGAGCAACTTCAGCATATAAATTAGATTAAACCTTTGAAAACATAAAAATAACTAACATACTAGGAACCATTTTGAGATCAATTGCAATATCTAATAATTTTATTTGTAACATACAAATAAAATTATTAGATATTGCAGTTCGCATGGTATAATCGGAAATAATCTTTTCCCCGCGACATGCACAAGTAAACATCGTATTTACACAGCGAATTTTGCTCCTATTTGTGCATGTCTCCAATCTGCAGGAACGTTGAGCCGATAACTGTGCAAAGGTTGGCAGATGATCATATCCATCATATCTCTTTGCTTGCTTACTCTCCAATATCTTGCTGGCATATACTTGAAAGGCGGTGCCTCATCTCCAGTATCTGTGTCTTGACTTAATCGGCGTTTGCGGTCTGGAGTACTCAACCAAGCATCTGCTACTTCCATTTTAAAGTTCAGAAGATCTATTTTTTTTTCGGAAGTTTATTAGCTTCACAATCTATTTTATACTTCCGCCATGCATTAACTACAAGCTAAATCCAAAAAATGAATGATTACCTTCAGAGTCCACTTCCTCGATTTTATGAAGACACGCTATTAATCCATTATTTGATCCAAAACATCCACTCCACCCATGTGACTAATATAATTGCTAACTACCCTGGGAATAATATTATCCTTGTAAGATTTTGTTTGTTTGTCCCATCGTTTAACGTAGTCTTGATGTTTAGCACCAGTACAATTGGACGCCATCAACATAGCTTTATTATCTTCCGTTTTTACTTGGGTAGTAAATATTGGAGCAAATGAAAAATAATGGATATTGGAGCAGCCAGTCCGATGAATTCCTTATCAAAATAGTCATAAATATACTCACTAGGTGTCTTGACTGGTCCTGAGGGTGGACTTGGGTAATTATGATCTTTATCAGTAAATAATGATAGCTTCCACACACCAAATGACGAACAGACGTATTTTCAGTAATTACCTCATCAGAAGACAGTTCCCAATGTGCTGGAGGAACCTTCTGGATGATATTCATCACTAAATTTTTGAAAAAGGAAACGATCAAATCCTCACCTTCGTCGTGTAGCACCTCAATATTAAAGAGCATATCTATTTTGCAAGAGGTCCAAAACCTCTTCATCCCTCAAAACTGCGCCTAAAATTAATATAAAATTATAAATCTTTACATGTACTGTCAAAAAGGAGCTTTAGAAAAAATACATTTTTCGTAATTATAAATGAATTAAAACCCGGATTATCACGATCGTGATGATGTAAGTTTGAGAGATCACAAACAAAAGAACAACTATGCTATCAAAACACAAATTACGGCTTTGTGTTAAGTATTATCTACATTAAACTTTAATAACAAAAAAAGATGTCAAGCTATGAAAAATATAGTATAAAAATGTACTTATGTGATCGAGACCCATGTCCAAAATGCGCTGCCATCTTTGTCGACGGTCCTTCGACCACTGGACACATTACAACGTGTCCTTTTAATTTTTGAATAAAGCGTATATATCAACATTATCGTGCGAGGCCGATTGCGTTCACAAAAACAAATACATTTTGAATTAGATTTTTTTTACCAAATGTCACGCTCGTATTGAATCGGTCGTAAAGGGATATATTCCGGTGGGACGACTACTCGACACGACCAGTGACAGTTAAAGCGCAGGAGTCCTGCGGCAGGACTGACGGCTTAACACACGGGGATGAAACACCGCCAACTTCCCAATTCCGGGCTGAAGCTTTCTAAACAGAAAAACTCAATAACTAAATTTGGCCCGACCCGGGATTTGAACCCAGGACCTCCAGATTTGCAGCCGTACATGCTAGTCACTACACCACCAAGGCAGTCACAGTGAAGTATTTAGTATTTGGTGGACATGGTTTTACAGCATTGAATTTTTTATCTTTATTTTACTAAATGTATTTTTGTTGTATTTAGGTTAAAGTATGATTGCAGACCCGATGTGTTCTCCTTTTCGTCATGGAGTGATTAATATCCTTTTTCATCAAAGAGATGGACATCGAAGGTGGCCTAACTCATGGTGGTGTGGTGGTGGTGGTGTCCCATGTGGGTTGCTCTTGATACTTCTCTAATATCAGAGTGGACCCTGAAAGCAAACCCTTGTTTTTCGTGGAGTGGGAGGTAGACAAACAGTATAATAAATTACCCTCCATCCCAAGTTCAGACAAGTCAAGGGAATGCAGTCAGGGTTCCGGGGGCAGCTGGTTATTGTTCAGGAGGTCTGCCTTGGTAGGCCAACCGTCGAGCCGTTGTGGTTGAGTAGTTTAGTGATCCTGCAGCGCTCTATTGAACCCATTTCAATTTATAGATTGTTAGTTTTAGTGGGTAGTTTACATACCACCTGCATTAACTTTTTTTTCTTAATGCAGCCATTTCCATGAACCTCATTGTTAAAAAAATTATGAGCTGAACAAAATGTTAATAAAATAACGATTCTGTGACCAACAATGCTAATGACATTAACTAGAGACATTTTGAGCCACATTTATGAATGTAAAATGAACTAATGAAAAATAGTAATGTTCACGCAATTTGTACCATTCTACCAACATAGCAAAATAAGAAAATTGTTATATTATTTAAAAAAAGAGGTACTCAACAACTGATATAAATATAGGTAAATAACAAAAATTCAAAAATCTATCTGATCATATTAAGCAGGTAATTTAAAATAAATAAACTTGTTTACATAAAATTATATATTAACCATGATACCCTATTATATTACATATACATATTATATAACAACATTTAATAATAGATACAATATACATAGATGGCATGGCATACAATATACTATGCAGTATATATCTTATATATTATTACAAGACTGAGGAAGATACTTTATATTGAAATAAATATTTCTTTTATAGATCTTCAACAACTAAATTAGTGACATCTCTTGACCAGCTTTTAATTTTAAGTTGTGTTTTATTGAGATTAAATTTTATACCCCTGTTCTTCAAGTCTAATGCTTGCTTTACAATAAACCGATTAAATTCATGGACATGAGGATGGCTCAGAAATTCATTCATATCCATCCATTGACATGCTTTGATTTCTTGTTCTGATTTAACTATGTTTGATGAAGTAGGTCTTAATATAACAACAATATAAATATCTGAGTTTCCAAACATAGCATTATGTGTATGTCTTAATGTGACCATAGATTCAAAAACTGAATCAATGCCTGTTTCTTCTTTTACTTCCCGTACTGCTGCATCTTTGATGTCCTCTCCTGAACAACATAATAGTTTGTTAGATTTATATATACTACAACTACTTCATTAAGCAAATGGATTTTTATAAATATATATTTTTGAATATAATATATTTTATTTACCTCTTTCAACATAACCACCTGGTAGTTTCCAATGAGGAAAATCTAAATAATTTTCTGATACAACAAGTATCTCATTATTATCATTTATAACTAAACCTCCAACACCAAGATTTGTGTGACAGGCAGGTGGCAAATTGGGTGTACTATTTTTAAGTAACCATTTGAACATTACCACGAAATTATCCCTTGAATGGTGAAAGTTGAATCCATTCTAAAATGTAGAAGAATAACAAAACAATATTGTCAATCAAGGTAAACAATTATTATACAAAAAATATTTACTAAGAAGTGAAGAGACAAATTAAGAGTATATTTAAATTAGATTCATTTTAAAATAATAGAGATATACATGTTCAGGTTTATCACATTTATAATTAATTTAATGGTGGTTCATCTATATTATGGCTACATAAGTACTTAAATTACTGCAATGTATTTACATAGTAAATAGATGATAGAAATTAAAAAATATACAGTATAAATATAATTACATTGGCAAGGATTGGAACTATTACTGCATCATTTATATGGACTTTAAACCAAATACATTTTGTTTCTTCTTCATCCCATTTCTTTAAGGAAGCTGTAAATATAGATACTAATTTATTAGGATTCCATGATTGTGGTACATTGATTAATACATTTATAAATTATATTTCATAAATATTGTTTAATATAATCAGTAACGGCAATCACCTAAAAGTTTATCCAAAAACTGGTTTGGTTCACAAGGCTCTTCCAATGAATCCACTGTTATGCCATTATACCTGTCTATAACTCCTTGAAATGTTTGTGTGGTCATTTTTAAAAATATCTAATTTACGTCGTTGAGAAAAAGTTAATATTATGCGCCTTTATAACTTAGATGACGTACGAGATGTTAGGTAAATGTGAGATAGTGTTTCTTAAAGACAAATTGACAATTGTCTTATCAGATAAACTTAATCTATAGGCAATATTTTTCTGAATTGATATCGTTTAGTATTAGTCATGTAATATATTTCTTTCATCACTCAAATAAAAGAGAAGAGATACTAGATATTATTATCATTCGCATTTTTTTTATATTACGAGTTAAAAGAACATTAATTCTAACATAAAATATTTGGTCAGCTGATAGAAATGTCAACCATGGATGACAAATAAAACTGTCATTTAACATTTTATTTGTCATCCATGCTGTCAACTCACAACTGTCATTTGAGAGACGAGATTACATTTGTATGAAAATATGGGTTCTAAAACAGGCTCTTTAAAGTTAGCCCCTTTCATTTTTTTCCAGTTTTTGGGATATTAATTGTCAGAACTTGTTTATTCATCAGTTGTTCTTAATTGTTCGTCATGATTAATTGTTGGCTTTTGTTTATTTATTTAAATATACTTTATTGTACACCACAATCATGAAGTAAATACAGTGAACAAAATATAAAAAAAAAACAAAAGTGTGCACAAAAGGCGGCCTTATCTACAGATTAAGGAGACTACGGTCTTATCGCTAATTAGTGATGATTTCTTCCAGACAACCTTTGGGTTAAGAAATTTGGAAGACTGACTATACAGAATGCGTGGTGAAAATATTAAATATTATATACATACCACAATATGGTTATATTAGTTTTAATACTTAGAAATACTACATATACGAGTATATATATATATATATATATATATATATATATATATATATATATATATATATATATATGAAAAAGGGCTTTAAATACATATATTTTATTAGTTTCCTCACGGACTTACACACAGATATTCAATGTAATATCTTTATTTTCATAATGTAAAAATGACGATTTAAAAGAGCTTGTAAAAGTCTATTTGAATAAAGTATATTTTGATGGATTGATTGAAAAATACGTACAAAGTAAGACACCGAATAGTCGGCCCTTTTTGCCGACTATTCGGCACATCTTTAATATATATATATAACCGTACGGCTGCACACCCGGAGGTCCTGGGTTCGAGTCCCGGGTCGGGCCAAGTTTAGTTATTGAGTCTTTCTGTGTAGCCTCAATAACAGCCCGGAGTTGGGAAGTTGGCGGTGTTCCACCCCCGTGCCTCGGAGAGCACGTAAAGCCGTTGGTCCTGCGCCTAACTCTTACTGGTCGTGTCGAGTGGTCGTCCCACCGGAGTATGAGAGTGACAGGAACAGAAAGTGCACCTGTGTCTGCGCGTACACTTGTGCATTATAATATCTCCTGCGCAGTTGGCTAATCTCAATGAGATTGGCCACCGTGGCCGGAATTGGTCAGGAGAACATCATCATATATACATGGTCATTTTTAATTTACTGAAAACCTTTTGGGAATATACTATTTACATCATAACAACAACATCTGTAAGAAAAAAATATATATCTTAAATATAACAAAAATAAAAATATTTTTATTGCACCTTCTCAACGGTAATAGTCCAGCATAATTAGCAAAAGAAAGTGCGTGTCCGGTGGAGAGGGAGGGGTGGAAGGGTGTAGGAAGCCGCGCTTACTCATTTAAACTTGGCCAGATGTTAGAACTTTAAAGTTTAGATATATTTAGATATATATATATATATATATATATATATATAAAACGAGTTTATATATATATATATATATATATATATATATATATAAACGAGTATATATAAGTATAATATATACATATAAGTAGATCTATACATATAATAAAATTGTAACTAAGCCGAATCTGTACATTAAATATTTTTTTGGGAAATCTTATTGAAATAGACAATAATATCGATACAGAGGCCGAATCTATAGTTTTTAGAATTTTTGTCTGTCTGTCTGTTATCGCATCACGGAAAAACCATTGGAGGAATTTTGATGAAATTTAGTATTATGATAGCTGTTTATCCGGGTCAACATATAGAATACTTTTTACAGCGGGAAAATATCTCATCTCTGATTTATGATTTTTTTGCTCGTTTTTGCTCGACATTGATAACGGCAACAAGTAGACGCTCGAAATATTCACAGAATATTTAGTTATATATTCACTTTAAAAATAAATATTTAAATTAAAATAAAACAAATATATTTTATTTATATTTTATATTTTTTTATATTTTATTTATATTTTTTGTTTTGTTCGATATTATAGATAATGGTTCGTCCGCGAGTCCGACTCGCATTTGGTAATTATATTTATAACGAAACCTCTTCTAATCTTAATGATATAAAAGTATTAACTAAAGGTAAATTTAAAAAAGAACTACAGAATAAAATAATTTACTTTAATTATTGAAATGTTACTTTTTAATTACCTACAAAATATACAATGATGACATGACAATAAAATCTGGTAATTAATACCTATTATAAGTAATTAATATTATAAATGTGATGTGTGTTTGTTTGTTTGTTTGTTTGTTTGTTTGTCCTTCTTTTAAGACTTGATAATGATGATTGATATTAAGAGTTTGACTGAATAGTGACATAAGCTAACAGCGGGATTTTTTTTCATTTCCACGAGAGTACACGTTATAATAAAATTTAAATACAGGAAATTTCGATCGATATCTTTCTGTATAGATAGGTATAGTACGAGGCCTCAAGAGTGGTATTGGCATTTAAGTTTATAAAATGTTTATATATGAATGAGGGAAGTTTTAACTTTAACACTATCAAACCAATCAAAGAAATCGTTCTATTTGAGGGCGATGAGTTAGAAATTGCGTTCATATCGAAACTTTTCAATTTTCCTCCTATGGCAAGCCGCCAGGGAAAATGGATCGGTACTGAACTGCAATTTTTCTCCCTTACAATATCGCAATTGTTGTTCAATTAAATAAAAAATGTATTAAATATTATTCTCCGTAAATAATCTTTTAGATTCTGGGAAGTTCCTGTGTTGGCAAATGACAAAAATATTTCTTGCCATTTCATTTCTATCGCAAATAATAATTACTTTTGTGCTGATGATTACTAAAGTAAATAATGATAAGAAACTATTTTTTTTATTACCTAGAGGTAAGCTACTTTAGTAATTATGGGATTGTCCTCCATCTTCTCCAATCATACAGTGAGTTGAGTCGTGGAAAGTTTCGAAGCTGTGTTGCTATACGATTGGTTGTACAAACATTGTAATTATCGGTAGAAATAACAGTTTAAAAAGCTATAATGTTCAACTCAGAAAATTGAAAAGGACTAAAATAAAAGTAATCTCGTTTACAGTAAAGTAAAGCTCAATGTGGGAGGCAATTATTATTCCATCTTCTCCAATCCAACAGTGAGCTGAGTCGTGGAAAGTTTATAAGCTATGTTGCTATACGATTGGTTGTACAAACATTGTAATTATCGGTTTATAAGTGGATAGAATAACAGTTTAGAAAGCTATAATGTTCAACTCAGAAAATTGAAAAGGACTAAAATAAAAGTACTCTCGTTTACAGTGATGATGATGATGATGATGTTCTCGTAGCCGATTCCGGCCACGGCGGCCAATCTCAATGAGATTAGCCAACTGCGCAGGAGATAATATAGTGCTCAAGTGTACGCGCAGACACAAGTGCACTCTCTATTCCTATCATTCTTAGACTCCGGTGGGACGACCACTCGACACGACCGGTGAGAGTTAAGGCGCAGGACCGACGGCTTTACGTGCTCTCCGAGGCACGGGAGTGAAACACCGCCAACTTCCCAACTCCGGGCTGTTACTGAGACTTACTATACAGGAAGACTCAATAACTAAACTTGGCCCGACCCGGGACTCGAACCCAGGACCTCCGGGTGTGCAGCCGTACATGCTAGCCACTACACCACCGAGGCCGTTTACAGTAAAGTAAAGCTCAATGTGGGAGGCAATTATTATTTTGTTCAATACATATCTACATAAGGGCTAGAAAAGAATAAGTACTCAACTTTCGCATAAAAAAATGTACTTTTTAAAAAAAAACTTTTTTGCACTGTAATTCAGCGGTATATTATTTATATACTTTGAGAAATATTTGATATTCATTCCCAATTGTATTTACGACCGATAAAAGAACCAAATATTGATAAAAAAATCTATTACAAATCAAATCTATTTTTATTCAATTGAAATTGAAGTCATTTAATAAAAAACTGTCTAACTCTTTTTTTAGATTCCATGGAATATTTAACATATGAATATAGGTCAAACAACTTAAGCTAATTCATGCAAGCGCTCAAAAGTGGAGGATCGTCCGCTGTCGATCTCGTTTATAAATTTTTGGATTATATTTTTCTCACTTGATACAAGCTTTCTCACGACGAGCCTTACAAATAATCGGGCAACTGCCGCTGAATGGAAAGACCATTAAAATAAGCAGCCTGAAATTATGATCCAAAAAGCTATGATACCTTCCTGATCTAGTCAGGTAAAATTATTATGAATTGTGAAAATTTGGTATTATTTTTATAATTTAAATCAATAAAATGTCAATTTCATTCATTTTAACAGAATGCATGCTAGGTATACACTTAAAGGTCTTATTCTTTCCTGTTTTATAATATTTATATTCCGGGATAACAATGGCGATAATTTTTGTAAGTCAGTTTAGTCAGCCCAGTCTCTCAAATATTTTATATCTCTTAAGATATCCACCATGATAACATAATTACGCCATACTAAGTATATTCCAATGATGAACCATAGATATAAATATGTTTCTATTTCTGTGTTGAATTATGTCGGATATTATAATGTTGATATCAGATATCAGTAACATTTCATTGAATTAGACTTGAACTAACAAAAGGAATAGAAATATGATAAAATTCAATTTTTCTTGTATCTTGTGTTGTGTTCTATATAACATCTATTACCT